TGCGATATGCTGTACATCAATTTGTCAAAATAAGTGTGTGCAAATTTTTGTTCTTTAACTTTCAAATTGAAAGAATTACAATATTTTCACTGGAGATGAAGAAAACCTAAAATTGTACGGCCTGTTAAAAATCTCAAAAAGTCTCTTCAAAATGGTTCCAGAGATTTCTCCTTGTATTAATAGCTCAATCCTTTATCTAATAGTTGCTGTAATTTTTGTAGGCTTTGCATTCCAATCTTGGTAGAAAATTATTTTTACAAATTGATGCTATACACCAAATGCTCAGTCTTCGCTTGATATAAATTTATGCAACTTTGACAAGTCACACAAGCTCGACTGTCGCACTTCATTGCTTTTTGAATGATACATGCATAAAATACACAGATAATCTCTTTCTGCTTAAGCACATCAGAAAATATTTTGATGAATATTAAAAAAAAACTTTAAAAATTGAATACCCATAATAATCTTTGGTTGTACAATCGACATTAGGCTCTGACAATCTTTTCTGAAAAAGCTATACACGAGTTGCACTTAGCCTCCTTCGCAGGCAACTCTACTCCGTGGGATTCCTGTGTTAAGGCAAAAAAGCTGCCGGAGCAACCTCGTTCCCAGGGCTACTCTGCGCCCAGAGATATCTCTGTCCGCCATTTTGAAAAAAGCGAGCAGAGTAGCTCTGGGAACGAGGTTGCTGCCGGAGGAGGAGGGGTTATTCGTTAATTCCTAATCTCTCGACACCAGTTCTTCTCGGTCAAGAATATGAACACAGGAAGACCAAGAAGAGAAAAATGTCCGTTTCCGATGGAGTAGCCTGCGAAGGAGGCTAAGTTGCACTCTTCTTTTGTGTGCATGATATATCATTCTTGTGCGCTAAGACTCCATCAATTTTCTTTTGGGAAACTGAAAAGGATCTGGGTGACAAGAAGCCGTACRACATTACGGTAGTCACGCCATTCATCGGAGCGGGGAGGGGGAAGGGGGGCACAGACGTACATGGACGTTTTAACGAAATAGATTATGGTTTTTGGCTGTCGTTTATACAATTGACCTTTAGTTACCTTAAGCCTTAAGTTATCTTGAATGGGGGGAGGGGGGCATCTTCTATGTTTTCATTGTTAAGCATAATTTGGTAAAATTTTCATCATTTCATGAAACATATTTTGGGCGCTGTTTAAATCTAACTTTTGTTATATAG